GAACTGTTATTAAAAGCCCCGATCTCATAAAAGGTGAGAAGAATAACTTCTAAGACTTGCCTCTTGATGGGTGACACCCTCATCGGATTCAGTACCAGGTCACTATAGTATAATAACGCAAAGAGTTGATAGAGTGGAGAATCAAAGAAGGAACCAATGTGTTATGAGCATTTGCCTTGCGCAGTGCCACCAAGGAATGAAACAAATAATTGTGTGGTCCATGACATGGAGAGCAGTGATGCGGGGATTGGAGGTCTTTTCGAAGAGGGGCAAGGATTAACTGGGAGATGCAGATGATAGCTAGAAAGCTGCGAGACTTACTTGAGTGAGACAAGTGTGTGTGTGTGTATTACTTCTAGTGACTTCTTTCAGGATGTTTTTGGATAACTTGGCGATTGCTAGAACCGGCTTTAAACAGCTTGACCTTCTCTCTAAACACATAGGCACATCTTTCGAAGCTCCAGTAGGAACTCAAATGGTCATCTACCAACTTGACGCTTTTACTGTCCACCAACGCTGCACATGAGTACGCTCAAGTGTGGTCTTCCCCTGACACGACAGTATCAAGTAAAATTTGCATGAGGACTGACAACGTCGAGTGCTCATTAAGTAAACTTCATTCCATCTTAGGGATACAATGGAGTAGTAGATGTCAAAATGGAAACAGAAGTGTCAAGTTGGCTCACAGCATTGGTTAAGAAGAATTATTTCATTTGAGAATTAAAAGATGAAAAATTTTGAAAGATCTTTACTTACTTTTATGCAATAGAGAAAACTGGCATTATGGACTTCAGAATTCCATTAAAGACTACGAAGAACAATGGTAAAGCCCTAGCTTCATTTATATTCACGGGGTGTGCGATAGACTTACCTCCGCGTGGTGTACCCTGGACAACGTATACTCATACGGCAAAAGAGTCTTTAAATCGGCATTTGACTTCTCACTACAAACTACCATCACCCCACTGTATGACATATTCGACTACTTCCACCGTATTCACCTCACATCACCTTTTTCTCTACCTTTGTGTCTGTCTCTTACATCTGTGAACCACTCTTCTGTCTCCCGGCCCTCACTCTTGACTTTTTCTCACTTTAATGTTCCTCGGCCTCAGTGAAGCCTGAAATCAACCAAAGGGCTAATGATAACTATCAAAATGCCTGACATTTGATATAAATAAATAAAAAATTTACATTCACTAGTATTTTTTGAAGTATTTAGTTAAGAACTACGAAGAGGATAATTGTAAGATGAAAAGGAAAATTATTATTTGAAACCCTTCATCTATTTTATTAACGATAAGCAACTTACATCATGTTATCATGTTATTTTATGGGGATGTAGATAAAATTTACTGCAAGACTGTAGAACTTATGGCGTGCCACAGCATTAAAAAAATTTCATGCGCATTCGAACAATCTGTAAGATGCTGTCGTGCTACTGATCGCATAGCGAGCAAGTGTGGCCCCCAATCAACTAACAATCAATAGTACCTGCGTTGTAGCGTAACCCTAATTTTATTTTAATAGCTAAGCTTGTGTTAGTGTCCTGTAAGGTGGAATAAACGCTATCACTGCGTATGCCCTGTGTCTTCGATACCGTTGAGATAGCTTAACTAATTTCGAAACAATTTCTCACACAAGAGGAATTTACCGTAGAAGTTTTTCGAAGTTTAGTCCAACGCTACTTGCACATCATCCTCTACTAACTTTAACAAAGTAAACGCGAAAAGAAAGTATTAAAGTCATATAGCGAATTCAAAGTGAAATGAGATTTAAATGTGAAATAAAGGTAAAGAAACAAATTGCGAAATCATATTTAAAAAGCCTTTTGTGATTTGATGCCTTCCGCATAGAGACTAATAGAACAATTTTGTACATGTTATGATGGATAAAATTTGTCATAGTTAAGACCTGGTTATGAATCAAATGTCTGACTACTATAATTTAATATCCACTGGAGCGAGCATTTAATTCACTATACAAATCTCTTTCTTATAAGCAGTAAATTTTAAAATAGCTTCAACTTAACCTTTGCGATCTCCTCCGATAATGTCCCCAAATACGTGGCATCACTGAAATTAACTATTAGGAGACAAAGGAGCACATGTGCAATGCGTTCATGGCGCGCATATGTTGGCACAGTACCCACACAATAAGACACGAAACACAATAGATATAATTCAAATATCCACAAGCACGATCGCTGAATGACTAAGAGGTTTCTGCCCGCACATTACACATTTCCGAATGTTCTATGTCGAACATGGTAGTGTTGGGCACTCAACAAAGTTGATGATTTATTTATCTAGCGTCCTAAAGCCATATGTTCATCAACCCCTTTTCGAATTCCCCTTTCTTCCACCTCCCATCACTGTCCTTTAGCATAGTTGTCCAAGCAGTTCTGTTGATACACAGTGGTTCCCTGTATGATCATGAACTCTCATCTTTGTCACTTACTAACGGTATCAAACTATACTGTTTAGGTAGGCTTTTATTTCTAATAAGGCACAATTTTATTAAAGGCCTGTTAAAATAACCAGCAGGAATGAACGACTTGGCAAAATCTGAGTTAATGTACTTTTGGCTAAGGGTTGACGTTTATTAAAATATGCACAGTGAACTCATATGTCCCACTGATGACTGAGTAATCACACAATCCCTAAGCTCACTATCTTCACCCCAATTTTGGCTCTTATAAGTAGAGTGGCTTAAATGGCTTTATTCAGGCAAATGAAAAAAGAAAAGGCGGTTAAAAAATGCCAAAGGTACCAAGTCTTCGAATTGCATGAAAGACTGAAATGGGTAGCAAGAGGCAGTGGAGGGTACAAAGGAGGAGGGTGGGGAGGGAAAGAGATCATATTATCGAAAGCTGTAGAGGATATTTCGGCACTGGGTTAAATGCCTTCAATTATTTCGAGAGACGGTTGTATTTACCCCAATTTCTTTTGTATTAACGCGTTGAGTATCCTCCACTCTTGTTAATCTCTCATGCAATTGCATAATATTTTGTATTTTGGATAACTTGTCTTGAGAAGTACGCTGTATATTTATCTCCTAAACCCTTCCTGAACGCATCAAATCTTGAGACACAATGTTTAACACAGAAATAAGAAACTTGGCAGTTCTCTATACTATCACCTTTTAGTGAAAAAGAGGAACCAAGCCCATTTTGTATTCGAGTGGACAATAGTATCTTCACAAAACGGATTCACTATGGTGCTTATCAGGTTAATTTATTTTTTGTCAAGAATGCCTATTTATAATATTATACTTTATTGCATGCTCATTATGAATAAATTTATAGAATAATATCTTGCAACACCTAGCAACCAGAGAGTCTTTTAATTCATAAATTTAGCAGTTTCTTTTTATAAAGATTTGATTTCAATAAATAAAACTCCACCCTTCTACAAGGAAACTAGATGAAAATTGACCCTGTTGACAATTAATTGTAGAGCGCATAACTACTGTGGGACACGTCATGGCATACCTGCACGGCAGGATTGGGAGGTGCGACCGAACAGTGACCAATCATTAACCTCTGTTTGTTTAACCTAAACCGCCATCCTGATCATGATTAAGCATCCTGCGTGTACACCTTATCCGCAATACTCGTACTGAATAAACGTGCTCCGTGCTACACGTCTGTTTCCTTTATAGCTGGGCTATAGCTTAGCTTGTTCTGGGAGTCTAGGTAGATGTTGGAGAATCTGCCACAGAGATTTCTGAGTCAATCAGGCTTTACTAGCGTGGCAATCCGCTACAAGTCCTTACCTTTGCCAACATTCACAAATAATGACCATTTACTCTGCCATTTCCAAGCGCGCATGAATTTTTATAAATAACGAAAATACTTTCTTATTAAAATATCGAATTTGACGTAAATGAGAAGAATTAGTTACTACGACTGCGGATTGAGGCATGACTCTCAAAAGTGTTCGCGATCTTCCCCTTGAGAAACTTTCCAAAACCTTAGATTGTCATTCAATTTAAAGTTGAAATCTAAAGACAAAATTTTTTGTCATAAAATAGGGAGGGGGGGGGTAATTTAGATTGGCAAAAAACAGCAACAACAATGTTGAGCTAAATTCTAAGTAAAATTTTAAATCATTCACAAAGGCAAGTACATATCACTGTTATTTAAATAAAATTTCCTACCATTAATATTTGAAAATAAAAAATGGTATTGGAGGTAAATAAGAAAGAAGCATCCAGTCATTAATCAGGCTTAGACCTCATCGGCAATTATCAGAAATACGAAACTTTACTCTTTGCCTGGTGATTTCACCGGAAGTGAATCTAATTTTCAAGCAAATAGAACGCGATGCCTGTATGCGATGGCAAAGTGAATCGCGAAGATGCTACTTGTTAAAAGATCTTAATATAAAACTGCACTGCCACGAGCAATGTTTCAACTGAGGTTGATGTACGCACCCAAGGAATTGCCCGCATTTGATTTTGATTACGAACCTGTTTGCTTTAATGTTGGGATTATTGATCCAAAGGGAAAAACAGGCCCTTGCAATCTACTTTTATGAAAGTGACGATTTCAATCAATAACTGCAATGACTAATCTTCCTTTATAATTGGTTCAGTATTTCATAGAAAAGATTGAAAGTTACTCAATCCCTAATCTATTGAAATTATTAAAATTTTACCTTCATGATTCAATGGCATATTTTTAACGCGATAATCAAATTTCGATTTCCGTAAGGCAACAATTGGAGAAGTTACATAAAACTAGAGAGATTAAGTGAATAGGAGGTAAAAAGAAAAGACCTAAAGAATAAGTCCCGGTGCTTGCGAATCCGAGAAGGACATGAATGTTCATGAATTCAATTTGGTAACTGAGAATCTCATCGGGAGGCATACGTGCTAATACTCGGAAGAAAGCGAACGAAATTATAAACAGTAGAATAGGAGTATTTTGCATGCATAGTTGTGCTTTACACTCTAAAAGAAGTGGGGAACTTGAAGAAGAGGTCAGAAGAACTGAATCAACTCCAAACAGTGGGGGGACACCAGCCCTGTTCTTCACAGAATCCATTAAATAAGACCGCTGCTGACATGAAGACGGCAAAGAGGAAGACACAAATCCAGAAACACACTTTTTCCCACCGCTCTATTTCCAAATTCCGCAGGACTGGCACTCCGACTAGTACTCCTACACGCACATAAAACTTCACGGTTAGTCACAATTGAATATCTTTATATATACATATATATATATATATATATATTTTTATAGTAAACATGTGGATTAAAATGGGTGAATAGTATTTAATATATCACTGGCGGTTAGTTCAGCATCAGCGGTCAGATAGAGATTTTATGAATTTTCCACATCCAGTGATTTGGATTATCAACATCTTAGCATAATTCTAGCCAACAAAATGCCAGTTTCCCACCAAAGAGTAAGCCCGATTTACTTCAATTCCCAAGTCCGTTTAGGAAATCGGTTTCCAATCTTGGAGGTTCCCTGGTGGAAAACTCGAAATATTCTACCTCTTGTATGGCAAAATTTAACCGATTGGGTTGAAGAGTCCGTTCACTATTGCATTTAATATTACATTGATCACTGCGTTATCGATGCATCATGGTTATTGTCGTGACCACTTACTGAAGAAGAACCATGCATGACCTTCGACATTCATCGGTGCCTAAACATCTTAAATCTCCCCCAGTAATCTTAAACTTCGCCATAGCACTTGACCACGATGAACTAAGAAAAAAATATTGCCTCATTAACCTTCTATTATTCAACAAAAACATAACACCAAATTTGAAAGGCATAACAAAACCTCCGATTTAGTTCGACGGCCCAATAAGTTCCGAGTAATGTAGATACAATCTCATTCATGAAGCTAGGAGTCAACTGGGGAGATTAGACATCAGTAACTCTCAAACTAAAGCCTGTCCCTCATGAAAACAGGGACAATTCAATGCTCAACGATAAACCAATGAACGATTTGTGATGACTGAAAGTATGTGAACAATAGTATTAATAGCAAACAGCAACTTGTGTGAATACATTAGAAGATAGTTTATTTTAATCATACCAGCAGCAAATCCGCCTAAGTGTGATGCGAAGCCCACTTTTGATTCACTGGGGTTGTTGAAACGCTCGTAGATGGCGAAACCTGTATCGACACCAGCTAAAATCACACAAAACACGCCGTGTTAAGACGTTTTCAACGTACATCTCGTCCGAATTCAGCAGTTTTTTGCCACTACAAACTCGTTTAAGAAATAGTCTAGTTTTCACTGCATCCAGCCTTCGTTACCGAATTCAGGTCATGAAGGAGGTGAAAAATGCCATTTATAAATCTGGTAATGTGAGAGAAATGTCAAGAACATACTAATTTCCCAAATCCACCTAATACCTAAATTGGAACTAGACCTTAAAATTCCTACTTTAGCGCTGATTACGATGAACTCACTTCCTGCGATTAGGTAATTAAAATTAGGTATTTGAAGCAATTAGATTCCGTACGATTTCTTCCCCCCAAGTCATTAGGACATAATCATCAGCATCCCTTAAATTTCAAACCCAATAAAAATCTTCATCTTAATGATAAGTTCTGTTTCATATTTAAATTGAAGTACACATAATCAGTGAAATACTTAAAATCGCTTGGGTTTCCCTTATAGAGCCGGTGACCTTGAGTTTCACATGATATTTGCATGCTGTCCTTGCCTCTGCTTGAACATGTACCTTAGACCCATCAATGTTTTTATTCTCGAACAAATTGCCTTCCGGCTTCATGGTCACCCGAGAATATTGCAAATTTCAAAAAGTTTGGATGCTTGGAGACCCTTAACGGAGGCATCTTCCAATAACCGTATCGGATATCAATTTATAGTATCAACATAAAGTCTATGAGACATGGTGTAGTTAGGTCTCATGTTTGGACAGGAATACATCTCACAGTCAGATTCGGCAGTTCAAGTCATTCAGCAGCCATGCCAAATGTGCTAGATTCTGTGACCGATAAAATAGCAAACGACTGAATGAGAAACTATCAGTAAATTATTACAAAAAATAGCACTAGCCACTTATAACCACAAGTAATAATAGCACATTCCTTTTCATTAAAGGAAAGCTCACTTAATAAGAAATTCAGTAAAGTTTAGCGAAAATGGCAAAGGAATAAACACTTTCGAAAAAAATCATGTCCACCTTTGAAGTTGGTGAATGAGTCAAACAATTTGAAAGAAATGTCAACAGGTGTTGAACAATTCTAGCTCAGTAGTATGCAGGAGCACAACAACCTCGAATGCACAGACCGAGTCAAAGTACGAACATGGGAGACACTTAAAGGCGCACGCGAATATAAAGACAAAGTCTTTTTTTGTGAGTGACTCGCAGCATAAACAATAACTCTTCCGTGAAAGTCATAAACTCTCCAAGTGCTAAAAACGTGCTAGTATTGTTGTGCAAAATGTAACAATTTAAATCAATGGAATTTTCAAGAATTCTATCTGTAAAAATGACGGTATTATTTGAAAGGTAACGGACTCTCCGAAGAGGCAACATCAATATTCCTCAAAACAACTTGCGTTCGATTCTATCTCTTAGATTGCCAAATTCAAAAAAATTACTCGGTTGCTTAACTATCTTTACTTTAATAAACAGTTAATGTGCATAGATCATCTTTCATCTACACTTATGACTGAAAATCAGGTAGGATAAAATTTTCAATTGAAATTTAAATATGTGAAATAGTGAGAACGTGATTTGCTTGACATGGTTGAAGTAGACATCTTTTCTTGAATTTACTAATTCAGGCCAAAGATACCCACTAAGGCAATTTCGAAGGTGTTATTCGTATTCAATTTTTAGCTCGACTCATGTAAGGCTGCAGTCATCAATATTGCTATGACTATAGTTGCCTCAATTCAGTAAATTAAGGGGAATGGAAGAGGTGAGTGAAGTGCTGTAACCCAACACTAAGTAGTGTAAGCGACAACAGTCGTGTTATGCGATTGGTTATTAAGGTCAAATCATTGTAGGAACAGATAACGCCTAATTCATTTGTTCCCACATACCATCAAGAAAGCGTAATTATGGTATATGGGCATTTCAATTCAAATCTGCTAGTGTACTGACACCTCGCAATTTTAAGATAACAGATTCCTCGGTCTAATTATTCAATTTCTTTTCCGCGATTAAATTAAGCTCCAGTAGACCTACCAATGAGAAGAATGATGAATAAACGCACAGCTCCACTTGAAAGGAAATTCAATGGGGTTTTGAGCCAATTCGCCTGCATAGTCTTCCAGTTCTATTAATGAAGATAATACTCATTTATAAACTATATATTCAATTATATTTATTCACTCAAAATTGAATGTTTGTAACCGTGATAATTGTAGCAACATGAGCACCAATTAGCGCGTAACATCCTCCACTAGCTCCAGCCAAGGCAAGGAAGGGATCACTGACGGAGTGAGCCAACGAACCTACAATTTTAATAAAGATTCGACTATTAGAACTCGGAAAAAGAACATCGCTGGAATTCGATAGCCTGCCTGTAGTAAGGTAATAGGAAACGGCGAAAACAGGTTTATACGATGAAATATGATATATATGCAATATGAATGAATGCACTGCAAAAACCAAGCCCCATATTACATTACACCGCAGACAACAGCTGCCCTAAAATGAATTGCAAACAAGCGCATTGTGCCACTTATTTGGCTCTTAGTTTCGAGAACATTTCATCATAAGGATTCCCACAGCATTTGTTCACGTTGGTTTCATCTAACGAAACGCAACTGCCAAAAGAGGGTATTCGGTACCCGATTTCTGCCTACGACTTTAGAAGGAAATAAATGTGGGTCTTATGATAAATTGTCCCAAAATGATTGGTTGTCGTTTAAAATTCTATGAAATCATAAAATCAACTAGATTTTAATGTAATAAAATAACATTTGATGCCTATAAAAAATCTTTAATAATTTTATAAATCACCTCTATGCTCACAGTTCATGTCTTAGGTGGAGAGAAGGCTTTCTAACAGAAGCAGCGCAAATGCAATTACATCCCTTTTTTACTGGGTGCGCACTAATGATTATTGATCTAGCGACCTTTGATTGGATTACCCGACGTAGACGTTGACCACTACGTCACGAGTTAATTAATTTAATCTCCATACTTTTAACTGCCCACTGGAAAGACTGGTAAATAAAATTTCTTATTCCATTAGATCACTTGTCGCTTCGACTACTGGAAGAAGAAGTCATTTGAGTTGATAAGACTGTCCCCACAAAACTAAATAATAATGTTCCAGGAGCACTGAACAGCGTTAGCGGGCATTTGCGTGGATCCAGAAAACGAATAATTAAATTTTAATCTCGAAATCGAACGGCTCATTAAATAAATACTGTGTAACCTGAGTCCAAAAATTATATGAAACAAAACGCCTTGATACCCTGACATTGCTTTCAATATCCTTTCGACCCCCCCCCCCCCAACCCACTTATTATACAATTATCAGATGTTCGTTTTTGAAAGGCTAACAACCAGTCCAATTTCCACCAAACGGGCTTCCAAATGAAGCATCGACTGAACTTCGCAGGCCCAAATATCTGTAGTCATGAATACTTTAAAATTGTCAAAGTATTAATCCGTAACTAAACAGCAATCATTCCGTCATTCTCGTCGCCTTTTCAGTAAACGCACTTTTGACAACTTTATCATACATTGACATGAAATTTTATTATTCGTTTCTTGTCAAACAACATAAAACTACGCATCTGGGGTCTCTCCGTCTTTTGAAAGAATGGAAGCTATAAAAAGACAAATTAATTCCAATTGCAACAGATTATATTTAAAACAAATCCATTCTTTAGCATGAATATTTACCAAGTTAATATAATCGTGCTAATCGGCGTTTGATAGCAAAAGTAAATTATGCACTTTATGTGAATTAGCTTTGAATCATCATCAAGCACGTGACTTCCACCCTTTTCCGGTACATATCCCCTAGCTTTGAACATAATTAGCATAAAATGGGTCTCACCAGCCAAAACGCCAAGAAGATAGACGATGCCAACACGCCAGAATTTGTGCACAAGTTCAAGGAAGGTGCCGAGAACAAACTGAAGGATACAATTGAAGATGAGATGGTAGTATCCGTTGTGAATAAACATGTAGGAGACGAAACGCCAGGCCTGGTATCGCTTGGTTGGCAAGTAGATGAGAGGACTTCTCATTGGCACTCCCGATGTAGCTGTCACGTCATTATAAGGATTGTCGTCTTGAGACGCCACAATTGCGTAATAAACAAAAACCACAATCTAAAATGATAAATAAGAAGAGGGCTTTTCACTTGACTATTACATTGTTGGACAGCTTCAGTGTCTATTTTAAGAGGTCGCATGAAAACCCATAGTTGAAATGTGAAATACAGTTTCGAAAATATAGAACCGGCATTTAATATCAGGGCTAGCCATTCAAACTCCATATGGATTTACAACCAATGATTTTTAAGTGGGAAGTTTGGTAAATTTATCCACGTATGCATATTTAAAATTCACTTTAAGATTCAACGAAGCACAATTCGATCTTGATATTCACTGAAATTTGATTGATTGTTTAGAATTCGTCAGTAGTTTAAGTAGGCAACCTGCGCATGGTATGGGGTAACAGACTATGCGACTCAAACTTTGTCAGCTTTCTTTCTTCTTTTCAGATGCAGATGTTGTAACTGACAGATGAGATACACTGAGTACTTATTTCCAGCATATCCAGCTGTGCCAGAATGTCTGACAAACATTAAAAGTTCCAGCAAGAGAGTAAATCTGGAAATTATTTTAAAAAGAGATTTTATAAAAATAACTCTAATAAAAAACTGTTAAATAGTTAATTTAATTGCTAAATCGATCACAAGATTACTCTCATATACTCATATCTGATTTCTTTGTGATATTTGGATACGTATCCCATTAATTGTAAAGAAATGATTTAGTATGCTGGCAATCTAAGAAACCATTTTGTATTCCTAACCACGTAGAAATTTCTCACTGTCAAGGAAGCAAAAGTGCCTTCATTAATGACCAAAAATAGGAAATGAAAATCGCGGACCGTTGTGAATTACACATAAACACACATAACCATGATAAACTCAGTTATAAAATGCATTTTTCTCGGTTAGATCTAAACTTGAACTAACATTAGAAGTGCATTTTGCATCGCTTATAATTACGGTTTGATAAGTAAATTACTTCGACGCAAGAATGCAGAAATCAACTACGTGCATGACGCATCATCAAAGTAAACAAAAGAAGTTTAGTGATGAAAAAACTTGCTTAAAATGGTAGGTATAGAATTATTTATGATTTAAAAAGAACGAATCATTATAAGTGCTTCAAGCAGAGACCGATATTAAATGGCAAGACACACCTGAGAGAGAGTGATAAGTGGAATAAAGATAGGTGGAGGTCGGCAATCGTAAGCCTCGACATAATTATTAACATTTTCTTCGCCCCAGTTATAGAGATCGGTTTCGTCAATGCCATTCTTTTGCATCTGAATTCGTTGTTTCCGTCGAGCCATTTGTGGAGCCACTGCGATAACAGCTCTATTTAGTGCGCGTTTCCCGAAAGCCAATTTATGCAAAAATTGGCTGTCTTCAAACATTATCTAAGAACGATCAAAAAATTAAAACACGAATATCATGGGGATGAAACATAAACTTTCAGCTATAAAAAATGCCAACCTGACGGAGAAATTCATCGTAATTAACACGTTCATCCCTGTTAAGATCCGCCTTCTTGAAAAATTGTTTTGTTCTAGCAGGGGAAATGCTTGAATTATGCAAAAGTCCCTGAAGGACTTCAAGTGGCATACCACCTTCTCGTTCATGCTATTTTTAAAAAATCTAATAAAAAAAGAATAAGGAACTTACAGCCTCGAATTGAGGCCTAAAGTTCTATTTTTGTGTTATTGCCAATTTAAACATACCGCATCAAGATGCTCTCTGAATTCTCTTTCACCACGGGTCAAAACCGCCATTCCAAGCCAAAAATACGCCAAAGCAAAAATGGACAAGTTGACCTTGAACAAACCATGTCACAACATGGTAAAACAAATAGAAATCTTATTAGTAATTTCATATGATTAAATTCTAAAGCATCACATTTAATACAATTATTTTTATTACATACGCGCAATTACTTTGACGCTAATTTTATATGTAAACTATTTGCGGAAATACGTAAAACATCAATTTATACTTGTAAATTTCTCATCATTTATTATGAATGAAAAGTCTGAGCACATAAATAATAAAATTATATCCAGTAAATACGATAAAGTATATAATAAACTTTCAATTATGGTGGACATCTGTGTCAAATAAAATTTCATCGTTTAAAAAATCTATTTTAGCATCATTAATTTAAAAATTGGTATTTGGTAATTTTTTGATTATGTTGCGCTTATTCTAAAGTTTAGGCTTTTGAATATTAGTCATTCGCATTAAAGACGCTTTAACGAAGCAACTTATATAAAAACATATATAACTTCTGTGTTCAGTCCTAAAGACAACGACAGAAACCCAGAGGTACTGGGAGGTCAGAAGGCAAAAAATGAACTCCCATTAATTAGCTATTCTATTCCCCCCCCCCCCTCCTTCTTGTGAATGCCAAAGTCAATTAAGGAGCTAATGGTAAATATCAAAAAGCCTGCCATTTGAAATGATAATACTATATATGAATGAATGCTTTTTTAGCGTTTAATTGTCTTTCCGAAACATTCTACGTTGCTTAAGCAAAATTACGTTCCCTTCTCTATGCAGTTCTTTTATTTTTGCATATGAGCAGCCTTATTTTTTCCCACTGCACTCATCTTCAGCAGGATTTTCGTTCATGTATAAAGTGAATTTAATTTAATGAACAGTTATTTAATTATTTAAATCAAATTCTAATTAATTTCTTAAACTAATAATGCGTACAAAGAAGAAATATTTTATATCAATCCTACTACAAATCAGTACTCATTTGCAAGGAAACCTTCTCAACTTATTGATTAATAAATAAGGCCCACATAAAATGAATCTCCATGTCACGGAAGCTATATTTATTTGTTAGTGCCTTTGCCTACGGATTGGTACCTGTGTTCGTCACCATGTACCTACTAACATCTGCAACTTATAGCTATTTTCATCCCAAGATAAGACATTCATCTAATCAGAGATAATGAAGTTATTTTTAGTTATATTGTTACTTAATATTCGTAACTATCCATCAAGGACCTTCGGTAATTCTAGTAACTAATAAAACCTAAGACTTATACGGGAACTTGTTAGTAGAAAATGGAAAGGTTACAAGTACCCTACTTTCAAGTATCTTTTTCGAATCTAGCAACAAAAGATGTTCCGACAAATTATTTTTTATTAAGAATTCTCAATTGATTTGATCTTTAATTTTTGTGCATTTTCATGTTATTTTGACAAAAAATGAAGCCTTACTTAAGTTATATTCTCGGATCTTTCGTACCTATATTGGACTTATTTTACTGAAATGCAAATTTTTAATTATTGAATTGGAAGTCTAACTCTCAAGTTCAATAGCAATTTCATGTCTAGCATCAATGTCTATTAGACGGTAGTCAACATAAAATTTCTAGTAAATGTTAAGCTTCTGCCACTTTTTTAAGCACGCTTGGAAGTATTCATGTGTGCATCGATAGGTTTCGAATTTATAACCCCCTATCGTCAAGCGAAGAAGGCTACATAATACTCTGTAGGCATGTTAATAAGAAATAACGGTTTCGATAAATCCCCGTTGAAATCCGAGTTGATAAAACTACTTAATAGTATCAGATATGTTTTATTTTTAATTGAACTTATTGTAAAATTGGTCTAACAAGATAAAAATAATCCAAAGGTAAATTGAACAAGTAATTAATTTAATTTGATAAAATAAACTTTCTGAACAAATTAAATTAGTAATTGAAAAACGAATTTGTATTAGATTCTAAAAGCAAAATATTTGATGAAAGAAAGTAATTATAAGTTTTTATGTTCAATAAAACTCAGATTTTTCATATTATAAATTCATATTGCAAAAACAAAAAAACTAATTGATTAAATTTATACTGGTAAGAGTATAAAATGACTTGTTTACTCTTATTAACAATTTTGTTGATTTAAATCAATTTAGAAATTCTTGTTCTTTGTTTCTTTTATTCACTAGAACGAAAGATTTCACATCTGTGACCTTGTGGCTTATTTGATTTGGAAGTTCGGCTGTATTTGCCGTTGTCGTAGGTGTTTTTTCTACTTAGAGTATGGATTTTTAAAAATCTTTTATTCAATATTCAATTGGTCCGTAATAATCATCTTTGACGGTGGAATTTTAATTACCTACTCTGATTCGGAAATTATAATGAGGATATTTAGCACGAAATTGAGTCTTTCTGCATTTCTCGCGTTCACAATACTTCTTACCTCGCAGAATAGTAAGTCATTTGTGGTCTGTAAACCTGAATGATAATTTTTTTATAAATACACGAGATACAAATTATTTTATTTGTAATTTTTGGAAGAATTTCATATTCCTCATTCCTGGTTATTAATTGAGTTAAAATATAATCATACTCTTTTTTAATCTTGTGATACCCTGAGTTTTCGTGCTTTACATTTTATATTCACTAACTATGTTTGTGCTCTTTTACCATTTGGTTAAGTGTTAATTTTTTGCTTATTTTATGTGGGACAATTATCCTTTTCCCATGATTGGAAAATTGTGTTCTTAACTCACAATATCCTGCTTATTAATCGTCCGTACTTTTGACAATAGGCGGAGTGAATTACGTGAAAAATGGATCCGAATGCAATTGTATATGAATACATTTTTGTCAATATCTTTACCTTAGTTATCACATTTTAACCAACTTGTTTCACCGAGTCTGTGTGTACTATGCGTCTAATTGTTTACTATCGAATTAACTGTACACACACATAATCTCTGCTAAATGCTTGTTGTCTAGTTGATTATCCAAGAATTTGATTCCCTTAACATGAATTCAAATTAGTCACACGTTATATGTGGAACGTCAGAATCATGTTCAAAATCTCATCTATTTTAGTTTATTTGCCCTTAAATCTATTGTGCTTTAAAATTATACTAGAAGGTGAAACCAATTTTTCGACCCTAAACTCGGAGTATAAGTGATTTCTCTGAAGCATTTTCGCATGGAGATTGATAGAAGTTGAAATTGAGCTCCACTTCTTTGTGTGAGTTCACAATCTATATATTGTTTATTGACTTTTTGTTTATGACAGATAATTTCCCGCAAATCATATTTTTTGCGCTCTCCAGCATATGCTTTATATTTTCTTATGCTTACTTTCCAAACACGTAAATTATTTTGCAGATTATATAATTGGATTTCAAGAGTTCCTCAACCATCCCTTTTTCTACTACCTGTGAAATTGAAATTTCGGTGCTGTTATCATTTCTTTCTGGATTAAATCTGTACTTAATTTCCAATAACTTTTGGCAGTGATTCGAAAATGTTATTTGATTAAACAAATGACAAGTTTGTCCCGTCCTTAAACGAATTGCCAAAATTCTTAATCGCCCCCTTGCATTTTTGAACAGAATTGCTTTTATGTCTAAAATGTTCTAAAATCAACGTGGAAGAACGAAATTGCTAAATTGTCAATTTTATTCCATGGAAAATAGCCCATACGAGTTAGAAGCGATACGTTTCTCTTTATTCCAATTACGATCGATATTGGCGCTACGTAGTCTCGTTAGTATGTGCTTGATGTTGTTAGAAGGTGGAGAAGGGGGTAGTTGGTTTGAGCAGGGAGTGAAGAGATGGGGAAGGAGGGAAGTTAAGCAATTCCCCCCCCCCTCCCGACATTTAACGTTTGCATTGATTTGATTACCTCTCGAGTGGTTTTCCGTTAATTAGAACCATTGGGGAGAGTAAATGAAGTCATTTTTTCGCTAATCATTCTCGTACAATTTTTATTATTTTGATTGCAGCAATAGAACAGTACTGGTATTATTGAATTGGGGGATATTGGTAATAATAATAACGGGATATTCAAGATCCGTTGTTTTTGTTCTTTTTACCCCCTCTTCCGCCCAGACAGAGTTCATGCAAAGACATTGCCAGACCATTCGGATATTGAAGTAGCTTATATTAATGCTTTATTTAGTTGTATTAGAAAGTGATTTAGTTCGTAGAAACATAAATGAAACTCGTATGTTCTTGAAGGCTATTTATAGAATATCTTAGACCTATGACAAACTTGAACAGTACATTTAACTGTAAATATCCTTTCATAAAAATGAACTACAAAGTACTTTCTTCTTTTCGAGTTGTCACTTATTTATAACAATTGGCCGAAATCCCTTTAGTTTTTCCTTCTCCAATTTAATTAGGTATAGCCTCAGCGGGGAATAAGCAGTCCATTAAGTTAGAATTTCTAAATATTTTCTTAAACTTTAATTATATTTATCTTTTCGAAACAAACACTTCGCTGCCAGACTCGCTTTAAAGTTATTAGCTCCAATCTATTTAGAGATTCAACTTCCTCTGTCATTTTCAGGTGTGACATTGACAGCCTGTTAATGAGCCTCTCAGTGTCCACGATAATTAGCAAACTGTCCTTTGAATGCTCTAATTCATGTCTATGTATGTTTGCTTAGTAAAGGACCATCGAAGAAGTTTGTTGGCTTTGCAAATTAAGCATTTGCTTAAGCAAAGGTCTGCTCAAATTCGATCCGTGAATATGAATTGGTTAGGTTGATATGGTTGTGAGTATTTTAATGTTGTATTTAACCAAAGAGGAGGGGGGGGGGGCGAGGTGGGTCATGTTTGAATACTTAAATCCTGAAAATGAAGATTTCCTCTTGGTTCCTGTGTCATTAAGACTTTATTGGCTCTAGGTATTTGAAATAATTGAATTTGAGTAACGAATTTTACTGCTTGTCTAGTTGTTTTTGGAGACCTATTTGCGTCGTAGTTATCACATATTTCAAATTATTTTACTAAGCTCATAACACGATCTGGACATGTTTTAAATTTCCACTAGTGGCTCCCATCCCATCCCCTCCCCACTTAGTTGAGTTAATGATCCTCTACTATTTGAGCATCGATGAATTCAGCGGGTAGTCACTGCATCTAATCCCCCCCCTCCCCCCTAAATGCCTAAAATTTCAAATCCTGTAAAGGAGGCAAACTGAAGCCAGTGGCGTTGTGTTCAATAGGCATTTCTGTCAGTGTAGAGGTTGGAGCTTGATTGGTGCATATCGAGTAATTAAAATGACAAGTGGTCATCGGAGCGGCCTCATGGTACTGCCCCTTCGCCCAATCTGAGAGCTCTTTTAATAGGGGGTGGGGGGGGGGGGGCTTCATAGGTCCTCATCCTTTTTTAAACTAATAACCAATAGAAAGCAGTTAGTGAAGAAAATTGGCAGTGCAATCTTCTTAAATAGATCCTCCTTTTGTTTGTTCTGCTTTATTTAATAGGATAAAAAGGCATGTGCCTTGTCTATTTTTCTGTCTCCATCGAGTTGTTTCCTGCTTTATTTCTTTCACTTGTTGTTTGACATTATTCAAACTAATTTTTGATGCATTATTGGTCAGCTCTATTCGTCTCATTATTTAGCAACTGAAAGTAATCTTGCCTTTCTCAATTCAGAGGTACCACTGAATTGCCCATCATAGCACAACTTTTTATGCTTCTTGTCAGAAATATCTTAGTAGGCTATTTTTTCTTGAGGGTACTAATATTTGGGCAACAAAACAAACCATCTCTTTAATGAATAGCCTTAAGACTTTTTACTACAGATTTGCACCTTGTCAACGCAAGTATCCTGTTTCCTTGACATTGTTTTCTTCGTGGACGTAAGTCCTTGTTATAGTTACTGTAATTAAATTCATACCTACACAGACGTATAGATGGTCTCGTTGAGCAAATCGGAGTCCTTTTAAAAGAAAAGGATATGTGTTATTCCTATATTTACTCTCCTGGGTTTGAATTTGTGGCTGCAAATGGGTGAGAAAATGAATTGTTCATTTGGAGGTGGAAGCTTAGTCACTTCATTTTTCTCACACTTCCAGTGAGTTGCTTTAATTTGACTCATGCTCTCTGAGTATGAGCAAGTTTGCTCCTCCTCCTTCTCCTCCTCCTGTGGGTTTTTAAGACACTCACTTCGGTCGACATTTTCTGTGAGAGAAAAGTGATTGTAATGTGCTACTGTGTCCTTTTGGCTTATTTTGTCACCACCTTAACAGTTTATAAGCCTTGCGCTAATGAAATTCGATCATTTTGCCTACTGACAATCTTCTTGTATTCTCTATTGCAGTTGGGGCAACATTGTTTCCCCAAAAGATGGCCAACATCGTTAATTCCTACCAGACGCCTTCCAATTATTCAGCCAGCTCCTGGCTGGAGAATTATGGTCCGAATGAAGCCTCGTAAGTTTACCTGTTGTTTCGCTTTTCTCTCTGCGCACTCGGTTATCGCATCATATTTAGGTGTGTGTGTGTGTGGCAATAGATGAGTTGACATTTATCATTCAGTTGATCGACCTTTTCGCTCCTCTCCTCTCCTGCTGTCACTGCGTGCGCGTAAGAAAAGAAACCGACAGTAATACTAACACCTATTCTTGCCTTGCGTAAGGAACTGGGAGCAGTCAGTGAGCTCAAAATGTTTAGAAAGAAACAGAACTTAATTTTTTATTAATTATTTGTTTGTTTACAGATTTAGCATACATGATTAGAGTTTTGAGTTACGATAAGGGTGGAAGTAGGAATTTCGTTCATCAGTTCGCAAGATTTACCCTTGACTTCCTATTTCGATACTTTAATTTTAGCCCTCTTTGGCTTTATTTCTCTGTATGTGTCTTCTCAGCTTCATTTCTTTATTCTGTTTCACAGAAGCATAACCGTTTTACCATGCCTCTTCATGGGAAGGATATTTACTTGTAGAGAGGAGAATTCTTCTTGATCGAGTTGGAATTGTACTTTGGTGCTAATTAATCCCTTCTCACTTTCTGGCATTGAACTACCCTAATGCAAACCAAACAAGTGCTTAGACTCTCTACTTACCGTTGGAATTCATCTCGTGATAAGAAAGATCCCTCTAGGATTTCTCATCAACTTCTAGGCTTCGAATGCTTCTATCGATTGGGCCTATGGGAGCAACTTAGAAAACCCGTTTGCCAATGACTGTCAGAGCACGGGCAACGTACTGGATTCGGTTCTATCTCTCAGACTCGAGGGGTTGAAACTAATAATCAATAGATAATACGAAATATATCTATATGAATCGGCTAAGAGATGATATGAAAATTAGTTTTATCTATCGTGTACTGGTAACGGATGACGCAATGGCCGACATGCGCTTCTATTAAATCAAGGGACAATGCTCTTTGAAAGCACATTCAGTTACAAATTCCATTCTCTCTTTTGATTTAAGTCGTGTGTGCAAGAGCGTTTAAAGTGGTCTTCAATTTCTCTAGTGAACAATTGGTAATGGGGAGTAGACTTGGTGAGCGTTTAGCTTGGAGAGATTCCGCGCGAAAAAAGGCTCTCAAGCCGCGCGACCACGGCCTCTTTATTGTCGTGTCGCATGTTTTTATTTGCTCTTCATTCTCCTACTCCTTACCCTCCCCCCCCATCTAATCACGCAATCTTGCGCTCGCTCGTTTGCTGGGCTTTGACGGCTTCTCTTCGCGATTGATTGTCATGACAACCTCAGCCGCTTTCACATATCATTCATCTTTTCGATGTCTTCTTGCTAAAGCGAAATGAGAAATTCAACTAAGCGCAAGGGACTGCTTTTTCTTTCCTGGCAGTTAGCGAAGTTCCTCTGCTGACTCAATTTATTTCTTACGTGAGGCAATTTTTGTGGTCCATTTATTATTCATGGGATTTTTTGTGCTCTGCAAATGAGAGATAGCTCTGCTGAAGTATGCTCTCCATTTTCTAGTGATCCCGAAAGTTTTACTTACAAGTAAACATAAATGTACACCTGGTTTGTTTACACTTATTTGATTGTCTGCAGAATTTTGGAGGGTATTTTTTTCGGATCGTTCATTATTTAGCTCAAAGCCAAGGCCCTTTGTTTTGTTCCTTTTTTGTGTCACTTTTCTGAGGCGGTTTTAGCCCCTACGCTTTCCTCGTTATCAGATTCAAATTTTTCTTCAGATAATCTACAATAATGTCCAATTCGCTTTGTCTTTAATACCTACCACTTTATAAATATGCTGTAAAAGGACGTATTAATCTATGTTATGTGGGGTAGCTCTTTGCTAAGTTGAACAATTTTCCCTTTGTCCCGGGATTGCTTATTCTGACAATTTGGTTTATTCTTTAACGTAGAGCTGGGTCCCATATTTTCTTGAGCGTGTTATATAGGCGCGATGAAAGTAAGTCAGAATGGTAGAAGACTTTCTTAGTATCTTACTTAATTTTATTAAAACATAACTTCATGCGTACCTTCTTAACCCTTATTTGAATCTGATGGGTACATTCTATAGGGAGGTTACCGCGAAATCCAGACAAAAAAGAGAGTGAATGCAAAGATCAGTAACTCATTTTATAAGCCTAAAGGGCTCTATCTATGGAGTAATTTGGAGAGAACCAGATACCAGCTCAGGACTCAGTTCCAGAAACAAAGATTGGAAAATCGATATTTAATAAGGCGGTGCTTTTTGAGTGCTCAATGGTATATTCTTCCTCATTGAAGCTTATTTTCAACCTCTTTTGCAGAGGAACTGTGTTCGATTCGAAGGGAGATGATAGTTCCCGGGCGTGGTGTCCTCGATCACTCATCAAAGACGAAGTTCGTGAATGGCTTCAACTCGAATTTGACGGCCTTAAGGTTATCGATCTTCTCATCACTTGGGGTCTCAGCTCCAAAAAGGTGAGTTAATGCTCTCTTCTAATAAAGGCTGGAATAATTAGAGTAAGACCAGTGAACACTTAATTCGAGTAATTAACAGAATTGTTTAGGCTGAAATTTTGCGTAAAAAATACGACTTATGTCTATAAAATATTAAAAGAGCTTTTTCATCATTTTAGCAATTTTAGGGTTACCGTCCTTCACTAAACTAGTTACCGGACGTTACACTTTTGTCGATAATTAAAATGCAAACAGCGAATTGACCATTTTTGCATTTATGTTCAGTTCACAAACGCCAGTGAAAATGTCACAATTGTCTTAGCACAAAGGTGCAATGAATTTTAATAAATGCAATTCTTATCTTTGAGCGTGAAATATGCGCCTTATCGAAATCTTTTAAACTTGTTTCATTTTGAGTTGTGTCTTCTTAACTCATTTGTTGTCGTGGTACATATTTGTGGAAAGTAAAATGAATGCGTTTGATGGGTTGAAGGACCTGAAAGAGGAAGCAAGCGTAAATAACTTTTAGCTCTCATTGCAGTTCCGAAGGCTTTATGTCTTCTTGTACATTTATTTTCTTTATAGGCACTTCGACTGATTACATTTTGATCGAAATGATAATCATTAAAGCTCTTTTAACCGACATTTTAGCAAAAATGAGTCTGTTTTAATCTGCCTACGATCTTCGTTGAAGCAATGTTTTTTCTTCAGTTAGCCCTCAGGAAAATTTCACTCTTCTGCTTATCCCAGCAACTCTACATCTTTGCTTTTGCCGGTTAAACTGAGATATTTAAATTGATCCACTGCCAAGGCAGCTCTTTTGGCTTTTTTATTTGTATTTGAAACCATCCGATCTCCGTGAATTTTGACCTTCAGATAATTCAGTCCTGTAAGTTTGTGTGTGTGAAGGAATCCAGTCTTTGTTCTGTCTTCATGTCTGGGCTAACTATCCAGAGAAGAATGTGCTCGTATGCCTCATCAGTAACAAAGGTAGCAGGTCAGGATGCAGATAAGGATGAGCCACCTTTGAATTCGGTTAAGTTCATCAGTTAGAGTGGTGATTGGTGCCATAGTCTCTAACCCTAATTTGACAGCGTATTCTCATTCAATATGCCTATTTAGAATGGCTGTTAAATGCCCTTTTGATTGCACATACTTCCAATGGGGATCGGATTTCCAAACGTCTAGTTAGGATTGGCAACTTTGCTTATTAGTCTTAAGGGGACCGCTAAATTCGCGACACTTCTTGTTTGCAAATATTGAATGCATAAATAGAACCATTGACTGTGCAACCTACATCAGAAGCAGCCCCTTGTGCAAATGGAATATACTAGCCAGTCAGATATGTTTGTGTTATTGTGTTGCACCTCGGAATTTGTCTATTCTATGGCCCAGCTATTGGTTGTTATTATTTTAATTGAGTCATCCCCACCCTCTCCCAGTATGCTAATTCGAGGCGCGCACGCTGAAGTTGGCCTGTTTTGCGTGATGACAGAGGCTAAAAATTAACTGTATTCACTTGCATTTTTAACTTCGTGCTTTTTTGTGCTAATTGCCAACTCTTCAATCTACAAATCTGGATAGTTTTTTCATGTTTTTGCTTAAATAAATGATGTGATAAGCTAAAAGCGGGGTTTTTGTGAAATTTGAGACCAATTCAACTAAATTGAAAGTATATTTTGTATCTTAAAAGTTTTTGCGAATAAGCAAAGACCACTCTGTAATTATGCATTAAGGTTGAGGATTTGCAGACTTTCAAAGCAATATGCATTAAGCCAATCAGTGAACGGGAAGGGTCAAATTCCTGAAAGGAATATCATAAGTCTCAAGAGATAGGTAGTGAGGCTCTTATTGATGGTAAAATAACTGTTTAGAAGTCTAAGCTAAGCAGAAATTTCGAAATAAGTGCTTGGTTTGGAGAAGATTCTCCAGTGTTTAATCCACCAAGATACACACACACACACACTCTCTCTCTCTTACCCTCCTATCTCGACTATCTACGAGTGTGAGATGGGCAACCCCTTGTGTATTAACTACAATAGAAGTGCGCGGTCAGCGCAGGAACTGGTAGCCACAATGCCAACTCGAATGCAAGTTGTGGAGTCTACTTTACACTCCTCACTTGTGAATCCCTACGAATGCATAAATCTTTCCCGCTTACGAGATGCTGATTACTACCTACTTCGAACGTGTTGCAAAAACCGCATCTATGACGTCACATTGCCACAAATCCTCAGATCCCTTTTGCTTTATGGACGTTTGTTGCAAAATGAAAATGAAAAAGTACATGATCATAAAATCATGTATGCAGTTTTTGTGCGTTATTCTAAAGAATTCAAGTCCCATTTCTCTCAGTTTGGGGAATCATACGGACTAGATTCATTTTTACTTTCACTTTTGTTGCTGTTACTGTATTCTTAATTGCATCAAATGTGGGCCTTAGCAAACCTTACCGTAGTCTGTCATTAAGGGTGGCAGTTAAAGGAAAATATTCTATTCATGTACAAGTTTAATGGTGTTTTCGTGCTGAATACTTGTTTCCTAATATGCATCAACAATATTAATAAGTTGAATTCTAGAAAGATCAAATTGTGATGCTCATATCAAAATCTTGGGTTTTTTGGGGTTTGAAGTACTAGGTGAACCGCCAAGTTCACCGGTCTGAATTCGGTCAAAGTGCTCCTACCATACCTGAAAGGGCTTGGGGAAGGTGTTTCACTCTATTTGTGAATTATCCCTCCTTTTCAATTTTGATTGAGTTGACGAGTCGTTCATTTTAGCTTGAAATAAATGGGTATTCCCAATAATGGTTCTTTTTAAATAGTCGTTACTTGAGTTTAAGATCGCCTTCTTTTTTGAAAACAAACACCAACTATGAAGACTATCTTCTACTGTTTGTAAAGATGAGATAGGTATCACTATGTGAGAAAGCGTCATAAATAGTAACTTTCGATCGTGAAAGGCACGTAATTTCTAAATCTCCGTTAAACGGCCTGTGAAAATTTCAGGCCAACAGGACCATAGGGACTCGAATAATGTAAAACGCAAAAGCATCTGTGATGATGGGTGTAGTCTAGTCTATGATATTCTAGTCCCGACCACGATATACGACGATCTGAGTACGAATGACTTCCTCCACTCTGTTGACTATTATATTCCACGTAGTTGAGAGATCACATTATTACGTGCTTTGCCCATGTCAACTATTGGGTTTTGTGCCTAGTGAATAGTGACTTTGGTGATTATGTTTAGTGTTCTTTAATTGAGAAATCTAATTCCATCTGCACTGCCTATGCCCCGTTCATTTTGATTCCATGCGCGTCGATTGCTAATTCTTGGGCTAGAAACAAGGGGATGGAGTGATTGATGATTTGGTAACCATTATTGTAGAGAGATGTTGCTAGTGGCGCTACGCAGTGAGTGTGTGTTGGATGGACAGACGGTCGAATGGCTGTTGTCCACCTAGTACTGTGGCGTGTGTGTGACATATGGTCTCTGTTATTGTACGCCTTCCCTCCTATGTATGTGTATTTGTGCTTTCTTTGAAATGACGCACACTTCTCACACATGTCCGTGCACGTACCGCCCAAAAACCGATTTATTAGCGCGTAGTCGCTTACTTCCGCTTCATCGACCAAATCCATCACACCGCCTCACTCCCCGCCTTTTCAGCTAATGACACCCATAAACGTCAATCTGACCCTCGCGAGAATCCCTTTATTGTCTTTGCGAATCATTTGCTTTTCGCTTTCGTCCTTTACAAGAATGCTTGTGTGATTCCAATGAAGTTGTTCAATAATTGCAATGACTCAACGCCCTCCATCTTTCAAACCTCATGCTCTGCTTTCCTCTATTACAAATCAGCCCTAATGACTGCTCGTATGTACTAGAGATGCCTTATAAATTTTTCATAAGATGGCAATCAGGGGTAGTTTTCTAGAGTTGAAAATAAAACATCATGATTCCAATCGACTTGCTGCTTTGTTGTTCGATGTTTGACCCACTGACCATTTTATTGCACACCTTACTTCGTTCTCACGATTCCTGGCCTGAATCATCATAATCACACATGCTCTACTCAACACATTTTATTGCAGTGTAAAGGAGATTCTGTAGAGAGATGGAAACAAGTCATTCGTGCTATTAGAGAGCACTTGGTAGGCTTAATTTGTTATCACTCCAGGCCTGTGTCTTCTCTTTCCTACACCTACTCAGACCTATGGAGTCACCCTGGCTAATAGACCTTGACGACTCAATTATTGCGGGTATGATGTTTCCTCTGACAAGACTTGTCAACAATGTCAAAACATTGCTATTATTCACTACCATACACCTGTTAAGTTGATAGGCAGTTGAGCAATCTACTAATTCTACGATTTAATTATTTTCTTTTTGTTCATAGAATCACTTTGTTCCCTACTTCCTCCTCCGCTACGAACGTGGTGATAGGCATTGGCACGATTTTATATCGCACAATGGCACAAGGGTGAGCCTTTCGTTTTTACTATGTACTGCAACAATTGGCCGGGACTTTGCTGTGTAAACAACACAGTTTTTCTATTGAATTTTTTAGACTATAATGGTGGTTTACAGAGCAACGAAGGTGTAAAAAATACAAAAGGGTTAGCAATTTGACTCGTTAAGTGGTTGGTAAAACACAATAGAGTCTAGTGGCAAAAAATGGACTGAGATTTCGGCTTTGATACGATAATAGCCGCCTATCCAATACAAAGAACTGAATTAAACAATTGGTGTTAAAATCTAGGTCTACTTGTGGTAAGTAGATTAGCCCAAACTATCGTCAGCGTGGAATGTTATAGGTGGAGAACTTCTTAATTGATAAGAGCTGTACGCCTATGTGAGTGGGCATCAGTTTTCACCAATATTCTGACGTTTCCTTTGTTGGAACTTGACCAGGTCCTAGTAATCGGGCCAAATGCCCAGTGTGTTTTATCTCAGAACGTGGAAAGTGCGCGCACGCATTTGGCAGTGTTTTTGAATCTCACCATGTCCTGTGTACAGACGTAGTAGTACACAGGCCCGACGCCTGTTTGCTCTGTTCGCACTCACATACGCGGGCCATTTGGATATTTCGTGAGAGGCTGAGTCACTATTGGGGCTGGAAGAGCGTGAAGTAGCATCTATCGCTCTCAATCATCATTGGGTGATGCACAACTCCCAAATACAAATAATGTATTCTTCCAACATGAACTAGGGCTACAGTTCCCTTTCTCTTCATCATTGTAACCTAAACACATGCTGTTTAGTCCTCTATTTCTCTTTCTCAGATCATCACTGCGAATCACGATCATACCAATCCCCAAACCATCACCCTTTCGCCTCCCATAACTGCACGACGCATCCGCATAGTGCCCTATCGACGAGATTCTCCCCAGTTCATGTGTCTTAAACTCTCCGTCCTAGGATACAACTTTGATGGTAAGAGATGATTCGCCTTTCTTTCTTACGTCTCTTCCTCTTTAATTTAATAAATCGTGTTTACTTGAGTAGAGTCACTAGTGAGTTATGAGATTCCGGAGGGAGATGCTTATCACAGGGGTTCATCCTGGGCTTCCCTTAATGATTCCTCTTACGATGGAGTACGTCTTTATTCCAAACGGGAGGGTGTTAAGAGAAACCGCCTAAGTGGTGGACTGGGTGTTCTTGTGGACCGTCAAATATACCCTGGAGGAGATATTGGAAGAGCTTTAGAAGCACCCTTCTCTCTGCGTACTTCACCACTAAAACACCGCCAGACTCTCAGTGGTCTTGTTGGGTGGTTTTGTCGGTCTGGCCTACCTCTAAATGTGGTCTCCCCACCGCCCTGTCAATCTCGCAATGTCACTCTCCTATTCACCTTTGATTCTGGTAAGCCCTATTAACAAATATATCAAGATAACATCAATGGAGTATCTTTACTACCTTCGTATGCAGACTTTGGACTTTACATTTGTTGTCCTTAGTTGTAAAGCGCTGTTTATTTTTATTTGTTGACCATCGTGAGGTTATTTACTAACGGAGAGAAGTTACGTAGCATACCTCTGCGCCAAACTTCCGACTTAGGGCTTTAATGTTTCTTCATTTACCTCGACGGCCTTTGAAAACTCACCGCCACCGTTTCTCAACAATGTCACACACGCGCACACACACACGCACACAGGCCAAGTCAGCCACTTTGCACATGAAATGACAAACCCTAGTTAGCAGCAGCGTGATGACTAAACATGACTCATACCCATCGCCCCTTCCTTCCCCCCCCCCCTCCCTCCCCCTATCCCAACCCCTACTGTACGGCGCTTTATTTTGGGAGCTATTTTGTGAAGCTTCCTCTTATTAGAGGCTTGTTTCCCATCTATTCCACAATGCAGTGGAAACAAAATGATTTTGAGACCGTTTTGTCGTTTTCTCTTGAATTTAACCGACGCGTTATCATAACAAAATCTCTTAGCATCAGTATTCGGCAGGCATTTAACGTGTAGACTGGTTTTTCTTTAGTAAAAATGATAGCAGATACAAGGCCTAGAAGCTATTGCAATCTAGGCCAGCCCCACAATATTTTTAATGCGTCTTGGCTAGAAAGCCATTCGCCTTTGCTTAGTAAAGTTAATTGATAATATGTAACCGCACATTCATGGAGGGCTATTGAGCGTGCCTTCATCTACCGATTTGTTTGCAGTCCTAAATGATTTCTGTCGGTTAAAAAGACTTCTAACGATAGAAAGTCGACATCTGGTTGGTGTCTTTATTACAGAACCATCCCTTTATCTGCATGAAAAATATCTAATATTCTGTATTTTGCTTAAATTGTATCTCTTAATATTTTTTTTAGTTCGCCAATTCACAGAGTTGCGGATTCATGCTTTGAATTCATTCGAGGAGAACATCGCGGTGTTCCGAGAAGCTCTAGTTCAATTCAGCATTGGTGGGCAGTCCTTCGACTACTACGCCCCTCCAATACACCATGTGCATCCTCTCAACGTCACCTCGACTCAACCCACCTGGGTTGTCATCCCACTCAACGGACGCGTGGGTCGCTTCGTGCGAATTTCCCTCACCTTCCAAAGTGATTGGATAATCCTCTCAGAAGTTGCATTTAGCTCAAGTGAGTCATTGGAACCTATTCTGATAAAGTCAGTTCTTATGCGTGACTTAAAGTTAGGTTGTTTATTGAATAAGGTTGCTTGTGTTTAGATTCAAATTACGGTGTTATTGAAACTGTCGTTTATGACTTTTGCTCCTTTTACCCATGTTATCCAGAATTTGGTCCATACTTGTTTATTGCAGAAATTTGATGAGTTAATTGTGGTTTTCTTTGAATTAATTTGTTGCAGGTTAACATTTGCCTCAATTGACACTCGAATGCAGAGTGACGTGCTCTTTTGTTTCAAAATATGTCACAACATCGACGAAAAGGTCACACGAATCAAAACAGGAAAATGTTAGGAAAGTCGTATTAGGGTGGGCGATAGGCACTACTTTTGACATCCTCTTGCTAAACTTACACTGAGATGAGTTTATTTTTTTCCACTAAATGTGTGTGTGTGTATAGAAGGAAAAAAATGCCACAGGCTTTTTGCGAACGGGCGGCTTTAGACCCTCTTTTAAAGCTCAGTATTTTGGGGAGCGCAGGCACATGAATGAAATTTTAATCTCTCCTATTAATCACTACCTCCTGCTCCTCCTTTACTTCAACTTGTATGGAGGCGCTGGAAGGGATACTATTGTCTCCTCCATGCGTACAATGACTCACTCTCTGTCTCTTCTATTGTCGCTGGCCTACTGTGTAGCACTCGGTCGCTCATTTGAGGCTACTTCGCCCAATACAGCTTTGGGAATCATGTTTTCCTTGTAACCCTAGATGGCTAACCCATGCGCAGTAAACAGAAACAGGTGTTGTAGCAAGCAAACAAACACTGATTAATTCACACTAAAATTTGCTAATTGAGAATACCAACAACTGAGGAATGAAGTGAGTGAAGAGGAATCAATAAGAGCTCGCTTGGTCAAATAGAATGCGGTTAATTACACCCTCTGTACGCGCTTTGTCTGCATTTGCAAACTGATATCCCAGTCCCGATTCAGGGAATAACAAGTGCAACGATAACTAATTATGGTTCATGATCGCTAAATTTGTTTGATCTATTATTTGCATAATTGGCCCATATAAACCATATGAAAGTAAACGGTTGATTCAACAAACCGGGTAGAAAATACTAAAATAAATACTAATTTCGGCGAGGAACATATTTTTTTGTTATGCTAATATTTACTCCTTGATACTGAAGCTTTTGACTTGTGTTAAAGTAAGGATGAATTCACGACTGTAGGATTAAGGGGAACTTTGCCGATTGACTTGGGGGTTGTTGGAATTTCGAAAGCTTCAGTGGCCGAATTACACGAGAGAGACATGTTCGGCCCACCCACCATGTGCATTTGAGATAAAAGTCTGGGTTTTAAGGCAGCAGTTGCTGCTGCCTCTAAGGTCAGGTTCATGATTGACCCCCTGTCCATTTCGCCTTTAAGGGGATTATAGTGTGTCCGAGATGGACGTCAGGACACTGCCACCCACTCTCATTACCACTAATCTGCCACTCCCACCCACTCATATTTGAAAATCATGCCATATTCACTACGGCAACATGTGTATGCGTCCATTGAGTTGGTGGACTTGTACTTCTATTGGCCGACGGACCATCGAGATAAGGTGCACTTGCGCATGGCCTTGTTAAGCTGGCTTTTATTCGAGCCTTCGCACTTATCTCTTCCAGTTCATCTCTAAATCTACAAAATCGGACCCAGATTCCAGTTTATATTGCAAGCGATCGGATTCGTTGAAAAACTTGCACAGGCGGATTTCTGTGTTCGAATTTACTAACTGGCTAATTAGGTGATGCCGTGGTTATCCGTAGCCCATGGTTTTATGGTGTTAAGATGGGGGGGGGGGTTAGGGGTTGTGAACTTAAAAATTTACCTGAAAGTCGTTAATTTCTCCTCCTTTCAGTTGCAGATATCATGCATCGTTATTGAATCCTGACCCCAAAGACAGGGTTGAGATACCACCTCCTGATTTCGCCCTTTATTACTTACGAGTCAGGTTTTAGGAATAAGTAGATGCTTGCTGACTTAGTGGGTTTCTGACTCCTGTGAACGTTATCATCCAGCTAAGCCTATGCTCCATTTGGCCTAACTCCAGAGGGGGGTGGGGGGGGGGGGGGGGGGGGAGAGAGAAACTTTAGATAATTCACGTTTATTTTCAAATGCTCGTTTTGATGGCATTTTGCATAGGCTCAAGCTAATTACAATTTACTCGTTATTCAGAAAGTAATAGTCCCCCACTTATTTACTAATTAGGCAAGCAGATGAATTGCCTCAAAATTTGAATTCTTGGAAGGAGATGTCTGTGGAGTCTGAAATTTTAACCAGTTCGAATCAGATTCTGACTGTGTTTTAGCGTATTCTATATAATTTTTAGAAATTCTATGAGGTCATCTACTTGCCTGCTCTGGAGTAATGCATTTGCATAATTCTTAATTGAGGAATGCATTCTGACGAGTGACAGCATTCGAAATATGCAGAAGTTGGGTGCTTGAAATAATTGGGTTTCGCTAAACTTGCAGCAGAGATCTCTTCCGTAATGTAAACACATACACACGCACATATGGTGGTTCTTTTTTCTTCTTCCAACAACTGCATACGTAGGCTTAACTGTCGCGTAACTCACTAACCACTTTTTGTATTTGCCTGGAAGAGGCACGTTCTTGCATCGAAGGGTAGATCGTAGAGCCTATCACTTTTTCAAATCCCTATAGGCGGTAATTTGACATTTAAAATAATTTTCAGTCTTACTGACTCATAGAGAGTGTGTCGCGTCTCCTAATTCTACGCAGACATCCTCCTCCTCCTCGAGACAAAGCCATAATCCCCCCTTCATAACTTGAAGCCTTTATTTATTAGACTTCAGACGTCAGAACCGTTGGAAAAATTGCAGACCATTTTAATGAATGCCGATGCGTTTTCACACGCCTTGGAAAGTCTTGGGCACTAGCTTGGAATATGCATTGGTTCAGTCTTAGTAATTAGCTTTCAAAAGCCTGTACAAAACAATATGCTTTTAAGTTGGTTGGACAAGCAAAGTTGAAGGTTGTAACAACTTCAAAGGCAAGTGTATATGTCGATAATTGAGTGAACAAATTTCGTATAGCAGTAATATTCAAGCCGATCGAGGTCGCATTTCGAAGACTTGTCGCTTAGCACAAGTGGCTTAATTTAAAATTCCTTCGCTTATAAGCACAGCATATGTGGCAGGACACCAAAATGAAACTGTTTGTGCTGCTGCTCTGGGGCCGAGTGATGACACGCCGCGTGCACAGAGTTTTGTCAACCAAAATTTGTCCTCCATCTCCATCATTCTCAATCTTGGCGCGATAAGGTAAACTCTCACTCTACAACAGGCCCATTCGATCCAAGCAGTGTGGCTTAATTAATTTTAAGCCAAGAAATGGGCCAGGTTAAGGAGTAGAGGTTGAGCGTTGGACCTCAAGAACGTGCGTAGTGGGAGCTGCACCAGTAGTAAAGGTATTTGCAAAGAAGCCTCTCTATTCAATTCTCAAGAAATTGTGAATAATAAAATGAATTAAGTAGGGCCTTGTGGTCATGAATTTACTTCGGGTAACTCGCTAAATTATCACTCTTCTCACTTTCTACCAACTTCTCAACCAAAATGTTGAGGAGACGGGGGGAGTATACAGGTCTCCTTTGCAGTTGGAATATTAAACGTCTTCGTGGTGTTAAGGGAGCGAGTCATAAGTGAAGCGGAGAGAAAGATATTTGAGGATTTTCCCCTTGCCAAATTTTCTTCTCTCCAAATTATAATTTTATTTATTTATCTTAAGTTTGTGAGTAACGTAAATATCTTCTAAACAAATGGAGATCTTGAATTTCTCATAGATTTATTTGTGTTTGCGGTTGTCAAATCTGCTGGATAAGATAAAGGTTTGAAGCGACATTTATGCAAATTTGCGCGCGCATAAATATTGGTTTGGTGGTCGCTCTATCACTCCAAGTCCACACTCGACTTACATGCTCTTTTGCATAACTCCATCACAAATGATTCCTGAGTGACTTATTCTCCATTTAACTATCACTCCTATGTTGTTCGTTCTCTCTAATTAATCTTTGCTTCCGAGACAGTCTGATTCAGTTTCATTACCGAATATCATTCCTCATGTTTAAAAAAATCGACATAGGTTCTGTTAGCGAACTAATTTTGATAAACATGTACGCTAATTGTACTGTAGATGTCATTAGCAAGTATTTCTACAAAGTAAATTCTTTCATTTCGTTCATAGATTGGTCAATGTCGTAGTGCATTACGGAATTGCAGTATTCTATTCCATTGGGTAGAAACATGGTGGTATTTCTAAATTGTAAAAATGTAATGTGTAGTTGAAAGGAGGTGAAGAATAGAGGTAGTCACTTCCTAGAAAGCAGACAACCGCAAGATGGGAAAATTTCATATCTTATGCATCGGTGCGCATTTGCGCGTGTATTTCCCTGAGGGTTCAAGAAAGTGTATCTGAGAGACTGCGCAAATTTCTTCATCAAACTTTGGTTCAGAGATGATGCACTCTATTGTTTTAGGTTAAGGTACATTAACACTCCTAACATCTCACGTTAGTACCTTTAACAGTGATATTTTTGTTCACTTTTTTGTCTAGCTACTACTCAGTGTTTGCTATATTTCATTTGATAGGAAGCGGTAACTTAAGTTGACCATAGGGCTCAGAGTATAATGTTTATCGGAGGAAGAATTCCAGGAAATTGGGACTTTCTCTGAAAATCGTAGACTAGATTTGCGAGGATAGTGAAGTTCATGGAGAAAGTGTAATCGATACTATTTCTCACATATGTATTAAAGTTGGTAGAAAGAGAAAGAACATACATGGATCTGTGGAAGCTACAAGTTTGGATGGTTTAAGCTATTCCATCTTTATATACTATTATGGGCATCTGTATATACATATAAAGCTGTATATTGAGAAGTTGTGTTCAAATGTTCAAAAACATCGTTTTTTCTTTTAATTTTAGCTTTAATTAGCAAGAAAGTGGATGAAGAAAAGCATGGAGGCACACTTCTGGCACCAACATTGCCTGTGGTGGTCACGCCGAAGCGTAAGTCCCTGTCTCTTCCAGCTTATTGTGGCTCGTGGGTAAACTTCGCGGTTGACTTTTTCTTCTGAACAGATTTGGGAGTTTTGGATCACGCAGCTTCTTGTTTGTTGTACTTTTGCATTTAGGTATTGAATTTCAAAGCTCGTCTCTTAATTAAGTCATTTTTAAGGGGATTTTGTAAATAGAGACGGATTTATTTCGATAATTGTCACTGCCAGCCATCTGCTCGAATTTCCGGCTCCATCTGCTTTTTGAATGCCGAACACCGAGTGTGGGTTCTACTTATCCAAGCCCAATGACTTCTATTTGCCGTGTTGTGCGGAGTTGTGAATTTAGACGTGTTTTGCTAACGAGAGGTTCGTTTAAATTTAACAAGAGATTTTATCTGCAAGCACATAGGACCAACATTAATCATCCCGCTCTCAAGGAAATTAGTAGAACTAAATGAAAATCCGTCCTTTAGGTAAAAGAAAAAGCCCCAAGTAACAAGGAGGGCACAATACCGTTTGGCTTATCTCGTTTCATGTCAATCGTAGCTATGTTGCTAAACCCTCAAATTACATTTCCACGTCATCAATACCTGGAATCTGGAATTAAAAGTTATTATTATATCAAATGGCAGACGTTTTGATTGTTATCACTAGCCCTTTAGTTGACTTCAGTCTTCACAGAGGGGAAGGAACATCAAAGTGTAAAAAATTCAAGAGGGGTGGGGGAAACAGAAGAGTGTATCAAAGACGAAGGTAGATAAGGTGGAAAAAAGGTGGGATGAGTACTGTGAAAGTAGTCGAATATGACATACAATGGGGTGAGGGTAGTTTGAAGTCCGAAGTCAAGTGCCAGTTAATAGACTTTTTTGCTGTATGAGTATACGTTGCCCAGGGTGCACCACGTGGAGGTAAGTCTATCACACACCCCGGAATTAAAAATAATGATAAGCTAAACAGCCATTGCTTTCTTCGTCAATTAATAGTTCCTTGTAGACGAAAAAACTATTTTCTCTATTAATTTAAGCATTTGACAAATTAGGAGTTCAGTTTTATTTTTAGTTCTTCTAGTTTTCACTAACTAGTGACGCCTGGTGATCTTTATCTGCTAAGTCTTGGAATGAGGACATTTATTGGCAATGGAGATTAACTGGGATCTTCTAAAGATTTCTCGACTCAAGACTTTAAGAAGTTATTTTTTTCTTCAGTTTTATAGCTTTCTTTTAGCATCCGAATATTGAATGTGCCATCGTCATAAGTCGGTGATCTGGTCTACATTGTCAAGTATGAAATGGATGCATTCTTTATCTGTTCACACAAAGGAAGAGTGTAAATGGCCATTTAACATATAAGGTGCAGATGCACATTGCTTATTTTCAAACGTATCAGCCTCATTCTTTATGATCCATTAAGCTTATGGCGCTAAGTCAATAATAATGCGACTCACCGAATCACAAAGGTATCGTAACTACTTTTCTTACGGAAGTTGCGTATCTCCCATTAGGGCATTGAACTAAATTTAATTTTATATATGGTCTCTATGGCTCATTGTAAGTACTTGGTCATATTATATAAGAGGTTGTTTCTAATAGCTGGGGCCCTCTGTGTTCCTATTTCTCTGTTCAACATACGAGATGCGAGTTATTCAAGCGGTGGAAGATTTTGTCTACTCGAGAATGTATTTTAATTTGAACGGGTCACAGAGCACACACACACATACACACACCCACACACACAATTTCCTCCCTAGATTAGGTGTCATCTACTTGTGGAGAAGGCGAAAGGCAAATTTAGAAGTCGGCTCATATTCGGTACAGTGTCGCACGAATAATATCGCCTCTCTCTATATCGTGTGTGTGTGTGTGTATGGTGTCTCTACGCGCGATAAAATCAACTCTCACCGCAATGCTTAAACTTTTGCCGTCATCAAAAAGGCATTAAATTCGAGCAGCAGTAGCGGCGGCAGGAGCAGCAGCAGCAGTTTGAGACTGCGCTAGTAACTGGGAGAGAGAACGAGCGAGCGAGTTTGTTTCTGTCTCTACTTTCCTCGGTTATGATCAAGTGGCATTTGGGCACGCGAGCTATCCATTCTTTTACCTCCATTTTTGCTCCCTTTTATATTTTTTTCATTATAAATACGCTCATGCAGTTCTTTCCTCCCCACATCTATCTATATATATAAAGTGTACAATTTTAACATTATTTGATAATGTTAGGGAGAATTATAGAGCTTAGCACTCGTGATAGTGATCCTGCAATTAGAATGTTCAATCTGGACTATTGCCTAAGGTTACTTCTGGTGTTTTACAAAATATTATCACCATCTATTTTCGGTCTCTTTCCCAGATCGTTCTTTTCAAAAGTTTACCTGTCTATTTAGGCTAATTTTATTCATTTCCAATTTGACGATGGGGTTTGTCATTTTCTCATTACTCATTTCAACTTGAAGTTGGATATTTATAGCGTTCCCATTATTTTCGAGTAGTAGTTGTCTTCGCTAGTTGGTGTTACAAATGGATAATTTTTTGCAAATATCTCAGGATTGGGAAGAGCAAGTCAAATTCTTCGAAATTTGTTAAAAGTTTGGGAAATCGTATCAATTAGCAAAGAAATGTGTCTACATATAGCGTCAGGCTCTGCTACAAAATTGTTGTAAATAACGTTAAATCGCATTGCTTGAATAAATTGTGAATTTAAGAATGGCCGTCACGTATGTCGCCTGAGTGAATAAAATATGGATAGTACCATCTGTCTCCCATCTCATGAAGTCTCGACGTGTATCGGGCGTGTGGATTGGTTTTCTGTCAGCAAAAAAGGGATGATATGCCTGTTCCCAGCATGCAGACTGTTGATTCTTTGACACTTGTAATTTAAGAGGGAAATTACACCTTTTTGGAGGTAGGTGGGGGTGGGGGTGGGGCGTGGTGGGG